TTGTTCACAGTGGTGATGATAGAAACCAGACGTCCAAAGTGCTTAATGCCTCTAAAGGCTACCTAATAGGAAGCCGTTATATAAAAGAGTTATGAATACATTGCCTGATCCTTGATATTGCTTCAGGAAAGCTTTTGCAGGAAATGAATTGGCTTAAAAGTATTTTCAAAATATCTGCAAGGCAAAGAGGCACATGCAGGGTGTTGTAAAGAAAAGTAGTACCCAAAAATGTTTCTTTTTCATATTGACCACCATTTTACTGTTATCCACAATATATATGTTTACAACATGTACAGGTTCATTTTGGATAGCAAATAAAATGGCTATGTTTGCGATGTAGACATCACAACCCCTGATTCCTATCAAAACTACTGTAAAACAATTCAAGTCACATCAAAACCATATCACACCACATCACATCAAAACATTAAGAATGACTGTTTACATCTCAACAACTAAATTATGCTGAAAATATGAAAAAAAACAGTGGAAATTATCTTTAATAAGGTGCTGGTATTATGGATCCATCTGAAATGCTTAAAAGTGGTCCTCTTAAATATACAGTGCAACATCATTCAACTCAAAATCACTCACTATGTCTATTTCACTGATGGACACCAACCTTCGGTGCTCTGTTATTGGCCAAAACAGTTGAGGAACATTGCAGCAGCCACTTCCGCCTGTGGTTCATAGCCTATGTGGGCTTCTGTGGAAAACATAATATTATCAATACCAGGATTTATACCAAATTATGTATATATTTCTTTGCTTACTGTTGTTTCTCCATAACCAATGTGAAAAAGCCATTAAATACATCCACTGTACTGGACCAGCTGTACTTTGGTCCAGACGGTCATCTATATTAATTTTCTCCAGCCTGAAGCAACATTTGTCAAGCTAGCTGATCCAAGCTAAACAGGTACCATGTTGACTGTTTTCTTCTTTCTTTTATAATGTGCCTTTTTATTAAACTTGAAATCTGTTTCATTTATTTTATTACAAATGCCTGTCAACTACTTTAGTTAACAGGCGTCACTCATAGCCGTCCTGTCCAGGGTGTATCCTGCCTTCCGGCCAGTGACTGCTGGGATAGTCTCCAGTACCCCCTGCAACCCAAAAGGATAAGCAGCTTAAAAAATGCGTGTGTGTCGCCCATAGCCTACACTTTACCTGTTTAAACTACAGCCTAGTTTATTTGCTGTTTTGGAGATAAATGGTTGTGTACGGCTGTGATACAAGAAATCTAGTCTAATACAGGTTCTTCATAAACTCTGGACAGTGATTCTGTCACGCTGTCGTTCTTTAAGCTGACTGGCCTGATCTGATCAGACTGTGGGTGGACTATGAAGTTTGTGCGCATGCTGTATACAGACCAATCAGAGCTCACCTCACATGAATAAAGAGACCTCAGAGACACCAGGGCATCACTCAGACAGAGTTTAAACAGAGAGCTATAATATTCAGATCATCATTCGGTCTGACTGTGAAAAAACTGTACAGTTATCATGTCTGAACTTTCACTGACCTAAAAACACAAGGCTAAAAAATACTCCTCGATCTCACCTACAGATAATACTGCATCATCAGAGACTTTGTTCAGTCAGTTCTTCACAGAACTCTACCTATCTCTTCTTCTTCTCTCTCTTTCTTTCTCTCTCCACCTCCCTCCCTTTCTTTCTCTGTCTCTGCCTCTCTCTCTCTCTGCCTTGGTGTGTCTTTAACTGTGAGAAGCTGTTCAGATGTTTAACTGTCTAATGCAGTAATAATGTAAGACTCAGCATGATTACTAGTGAAATATATTACAGTGAAAAATCAAATCGGGGTAAATTGCTGATGTTGCTGCTGGTTTTAATGGCAGAAATGTTTTAAACAGATATCAGTGAATATATACAGTTTGAAGGCTGTGAATGTGTTTACTGTCTGTAGAGGTTCATATCTATTAACGTAAGCTAGAGTCCAGGAAGCTGATGGGCAACAGGACTCCTCAAAATTACATTATTAATTAAGCAATCTACTTATAATTTTGACTCAGTTTTTTTTCTATTAAATGAACTTAATTCAACAGTAACAACGTCTGCACAGGGATTCTAAAATACTTCATTGGAAACAGATAAACTAGGAAGTCTTATATATTCATCTAACCATGAAATGCATGCAGTTTAATGTAAACCTTGTTCCTTACACAGTTCACAGAAAGATGTGTACATGTGCACTAGCAGAGCAAACTGTGATCGGTCTCTCAGAACCTTTTTCCCCTCACATAATATTTTGTTTTGCTTTAGTGTTTTTCTGTGCAGATTATTTCCAATGATTTAGCCGAGTCAGCTCAGGAATATTTTCAGTGACAATAAAAGCAGAAATAGAAAAAATTACTAACTTGAGCACTTAAGTAGTTTTTGAATAAACTACTTGTTAACTCTTACTTGAGTAATTTTATTTACTAATACTTTTACTCATACCTGAGCAAATTATCACTACAGTAACAGTACTTGTACTTAAGTAGGGATTTTCAGTACTCTTTACACCCCTGTCTAGAACGTAGCGTTCTGTAAAAGAAAGCGTAAGCAGCCTACTACAGAGAGCAGTGTTTATCATTGATTACATCAGTGTGCAGCTGACTCCTACTAAGATATGTTCATGTGACAGCATGTGTGAGTCTTTTCATGTAAAAATGAAAGATGAAATGTAATCTTGCTTTTATTTACTTTATGATTATTTACACATGAAAATTTGAAATAACACACAGTTTGTGAAGTCTGACACTGACGGAGCAAAATCTCAGCCCAGATCTGCACAACTATAAGCTCATTCTCAGCTTCATCAGTGTGCAGTGCTGGTCTTGTGTGCTGTGTTTGGTTATTCACGTACTTCAACAATATCTGAGAGTAAAATCAGACCCAGACTGAATCATTAGAAAAGCAGAAATGTTAAAGGTGTTTTACGCTGAGCACAGCAGTGAGTAACTGATTGAAACTGAATCAGACTGTATGAACTTTGATGGTGCCATAGGGTCACAAAACTGGGTTTTTATAAATTGCTGTATTGTTTTGAAGGAAGTGTTTTATTTTGTAAAAGATCTGAGGTTTTCTGCTACTCGTGTGTCTGGCAGTGTGAACTGTGTGTATTGTTTGGACAAAATGAGCCCCTTTTTCAAAATGACACTTAAGCAATCATAAAAAAACACTAATAAACCCTGAAGCCTCTCAGCAGATCATTCAGTAAAACACCTGAAAATGTATTACAGTAATAAGTAAGAGAATAAGTAAGAGTAAGTAAGAATAAAGAGCTGCAGTGCAGTATGCTGCAAGATAGTTTTACTGTTGATTTTTGTTGATGCTTCATGTGTGTGTTTATGTTTCTTTATGTTTTTATGCTTTATGTGTGTTTGTGTTTTTTGTTTTGAAGTTTGTGTTTTTGATTATTTGTGTGTGTTTGTTATTGTGTTTTTGATGCTTTAAATTTGTTTGTATGTTTGTGATAATGCGTGTGGTGATGTTACTATTATAAAGACATCACCAAGGGAATATTTAATGTTATTTACTGACATATTAGATACACGCTGAAGCACCTTCCCTTAAAGCTGTACTTTTCTGAGAGCATCACTGAATTTGAGAGCCTTCTGTAGGTCTGCTGACAGAAAATGGTGTGCTTACACTTTTGCTGGGCATCTCCTAGGAGTCCTTCAGAGAAGAAAAACTCCCAGAACTTCCTACATGTGCTAGCAATATTCTTAAAATACTGATAATTACTTTCAAACCTCATACACCACAAAGCACAAAGAGGGTCATAAATTAGCAGAAATGTGGGATAATGTATTAAATAATGACACTTGGGTGTTAAAACATTCCCAAAAACATTAGGAAAGGTGGCAATATGAATAGGCACCACTTTTGACTGGCCGATTCAACAATGCCAGAATTTTGAAGCAGTTTTTCAGACATTTGGTGACATTAAAGTAATTTAGTACATCAAATTTGCTAGTACCATACACACTATACAAAGCAGCGCTTGCTGGATCATTTTCTACACATTCAAGGTGATACTTGTGCACTTCCACAGTCCTAAGAACAAAACTATCCTCCTGGAATTTTTTGTTAATCTTAGAATAAGAAACCATGCAGTATTGACTAATTTTGTCAGTGTTAAAAGACATGGTAAACCCCCCAGTCGTGTGAGCAGAGAGGTTATCACATGAAAAAGTTGCCTGAGCAGCATTAATTCTGTTCTCTTCTCCTTTAACTTTTTACCCTTCAGTTTCAAGTTTCAAAGCTCATGTGGTATGGCATACTTACATGATGTACCACGGAGGTTCATATTTGGCAGGAGTTCCATTTTCCCCCCAGACTCTTCGTCCACTGCCTCTGGAAATATTCCAGTTTTCTAAATTGCTCCCCTGATAAATTAAAAAAAAAGAAGAAATAGGGTGGATGACCACACAGGAGACCCTCCTTGATTTCCAGGAATGTGGCCATCCACCCATGTACCTCACAGGTCAGACAGACTATAAGTGCCTGCTGATTTATGTTTTTCCCAGCTGGCACATGACCGACCTTCAACGTTGAAATGTGGTTGAAATAATGTCAGTTGTTGTTTCAACGCTGAAAAAACGTTGAAACAACTGTTAATGTTAAATGGTTGTGAAATGGTTAACAAAATACTCATAAATCAACGTTGAAATTTCAACTTTAAATCAACATAATGTCTTAATCATCTTGCTTTACAAATATGATCATTATTATTATTTTATTGCCATTTTTTATATTTTGATCATAAGAGCACTTCAAAAATCTAAATTTATATGTTAAAAATAGCAAACAACAGAAACAATAATAGTAACAGGCAAATTAAGTTTGCGGGAAAAAAAACCTTGTTTGCCGCCCATTGAAACAGCATGAAGAACTATGTAAACTGACAATCAGCGCCTCTACTGAGGCGGGCTGAGTACACCCGTTTTGAGACTGCCCGAGTGCGCCTGCGCTGCGGCGACGCGCGCGATTCACCAATGTTCACCTAAGCGGGAACAGCGTTTAGAGCGGCTTCTGGAAACTTCGGAGGGCTTCAAAACGCGTTTGGTGAGTAATACTTGGTTTATTTGACGTACCAACAGTTTTAATCCAACATTTACTTAGATTTAATCCTAAAATCTGATAATGTTGAACTCTTTATACAATAAATCAAACATCAGCGTCATTTGCTAAGTTCGCCGGTGGTCGGCTATGGTGAGCTAGCTGGGCTAGTCACCTCTGATTGTTTTTTCTTACAGTGTGAGACTTTATGAAGTCAGTTAAAGGTAATTGTTCTAATTACTATTTTAAATGGGAACCACGTTTCGAATTCGTGTTCTAAGTCTAGCTAATAAACTGAGTTGCTATCTAAGTTAGCTCAAGTTTGTCTAACAGCTCTGCTGGAAGACCGGTTCGATTCCGGCTAACTTGTGCTAAACTATGACGAATTTCAAGGAAAATGACTCAGATTTGAGTGAACGGTGCTGGGGTGTCCGATAAGCAGAAACTAATCAGGTTTTGTGGTGTGTGGGGCTGTTAGTTTGCTGGCAGGTAACGGCTTCACAGCACGGACCAGGTTTGATGCTTCGCTCACACGAGATGACGCAGAAATCTTTAGAGGGAGAGACGCGTCGAGTGACTGGTGCTGGAGTTAAAACTTAAAGGGGAGCCCACTGATTCTGCACAATTAAATGGTTCCGGTGTTGACAGTCATTCACAGGGGTTTGGCGTGAAATGCCCTGCTGTAGTGAAACCTACGATTGAGGAAATGTTCAAAGTGGAACCAGATGTCCGAAGAATTCAGTGCCTCTGAAAACTCCCTCTTAGAAATTTATTATATGAAATGGTTAGATATATACTGTGTGATGCCTGAAACGTTTTTTAGTTTTGTGATTAAAATTTTAACTTGCTGTTTTTTTGTTTTTTCAATTTATTAATGCCGGAGGGATGCATGAAGGGCAAAATAGTCTCCAAAGAAAGCTCTTTTTTTCCAGACTATTTTTCCCCACCATTGCACAAAAACACATGTAGGTTCACTGGTGGTTTCAGATAGTAAATAATATGTCTATATTTGTGTTGTAGTCATGGTGACCCCTGGTTCCTATCACCACTGTAAAGAAACAGTACACTTATTTACAGTGAACCATTTTATATCAAACCACTCTGAATGACTCTGCAGCCACACGTTTACATCGTTTACATGTTTACATTGGACTGAATTATTCAGGAATTTTGAATTGGTAGAACTTTGTTATCCTAACTGGATAAGAGTTATCCTAACTGAGCTGAGCTGTAACTTGGTTATTTTCTGTCCGATAGTTTTACTTGCTTGAATTTGAATATCTAAAACAATTAACATTATGTCAGTGTTCAGCTTTTGGAAGTTCAGTATCTGTTGTATAAACTTAAGTTTGAGCATCCACTTTATGAGAATATCAATTTGTGTATGGTAAGTGGAATAAAACCATTTAATGCTAGTACAAGAAATCACTGTGTCACTGACCGGAGGTTATTCAGAGTGATGTTTCTGAAATCTCCTTGTTCTCTTGTTGCAGTCACCTGCACGTCCTTTGTACACCAGCAGCATCTTTCAGGTGTGGAAGCAACGTTAATTTACCTTTCTTTTTCTGCTGGGTTACTGGTTTGATTTCACTCATTTTTCTGTCTGTGTAATCACCCAAAACATGTATGTCTGTCTGTGTTTGACTATTTTATATCTTAATCATACGTCAACACAAGTATGTCTTTCCCTTTCTCATGATTGACTGTAATAATGATTGGGAAAGAACAGTTTTGTGACATTTTCATTTTTTTTTAAGTCCTGTTTCAGTGTCTTTTTCCTCTTTTACTTCTACGCTCCCTGTTAACCCGCCATGTTTTAAGCTATGGAAGCCTTCTCACCAGGAGTGAGCAAATTACAAAACTTCTGAACCTGAGTAAAAGTAGAAATTCTTAAAGTACAAGTATTTTATTTTTTTTTTACTTGAGTTACAGTACAGAAGTACTTGTTTTTAAGTTGTGAATTGGAAATCATAATGGTATATATATATTAATTTAAATGCAATAGGACTTTGAATGTTAAGTGTCATTGTGAAAACCAGCACAGCGTTATTTACAGAAACACTCTCCTTCTTCTATGCTGTTGCACCCACAACTGCTTTTTTCATGTTTCTTTGTAGATTTATTTCTCATAATGCCTGCTGTCTGCTATCTGGTGAGGGTTTTACTGATCTTGCTGACTTTTTTCCTTTATTTTAGATGCAGCCATGAAGAATCCACAGTAATAGTCACGCTGCAGGTGACAAAGAAATCAACCAGAGACCTCCACGTCTGTTAAGAGCCGAGTACATTTAACATTATTGGGTCGGGGTCAGATTCTGTCTGCCTCTCTCTCTCTCTTCCACACATGCTCAGTATATACATTCACTGACTGCTTTATGTACACCTTACTTAAGCCTGTTTGCAAATTACATTACATCACATCACTGCGTTGCTGTGGCACATACTGGAGGGCAGGAAGTGATTTTCATAGAAGGCACTGTCACAGGTTCTCAAAATGCCTATGGTTTACGTTGTTTATGGTTGCTAAATTAGTTCTAACTGAGAAACTACAAGGTTCTTTTATCAGATACCAAAGCTTGTTGTTCATTGGGGGAAAATGCAAGAAATTGACCAAAAACACCAGCAAAAATTATGTTTTGCACAGTTCATCTGTGCACAGGTGATGGATTTAAAAGGTACAAGCAACACCACTTACACTTAAATCAGGGTTTACAGTTAAACAAAAGATGGGTGAACAAACAAGTTGCTTATATCTGCTGCCTCAATAGCAGGGAAGTCTTTCAGTTCAGTTGGGAAAAAAAACACTCCTTTTAAAAAACATAAGGAACATCTGTCCAGCATTTCTCTCGTAATATAGTCTAAACAAGCATACTATGGGCTTGCCTCCATCTTGTTTTCCGCTTTACACTTCCTGCTCTCCATCTGGAATTTGCACGTCATTCGAACCATGTGACTTTAGAGATTGTATTAGAGATTGTAGTCCATCTGTTTCTCTGCATAATTTGTTGACCCTTTTACCCTGTTCTTCAATGGTCAAGACCCCATAGGACCCCCCAGGGCATGTATTATTTGGGTGGTGGATCATTCTCAGCACTGCAGTAACACTGACATGATGGTGGTGTGTTAGTGTGTGTTGTTCTGGTGTGAGTAAATCAGACACAGCAGTGCTGCTGGAGTGAAACACTGTCCACTTACTGTCCACTCTATTAGACACTTCTACTTTGCTAGTCCTTGTAGATGTAAAGTCAGAGACGATGGCTCATCTGCTGCTGCACAGTTTGTGTTGGTCATTCTCTAGTCCTTCATCAGTGGTCACAGGACGCTGTTGGCTGGACATTTTTGGTTGGTGGACTATTCTCCGTCCAGCAGTGACACTGAGCTGTTTAAAAACTCCAGCGGCACTGCTGTGTCTGATCCACTCAGACCAGCGCAACACACACTAACACACCACCACCACCACATCAGTGTTACTGCAGTGCTGAGAATGATCCACCACCCAAATAGTACCTGCTCTGTGAGGGCCCATGGGGGTCCTGACCACTGAAGAACAGGGTAAAAGGGGGCTAACAAAGTATGCAGAGAAACAGATGGACTACAGTCTTTAATTGTAGAACTACAAAGTGCACCTATATAGTAAGTGGAGCTGATAACACGGACAATGAGCTTAGGAACAAGGAGGTGGTCATAATGTCATGCCTGGTTGGTGTTTCTGTGTGTGTTAAACTGGGTTTGAGAGAAATGACCCATAAGATCAATAGATTCATTGACCTAAAACTGATCAAACAAATATAAATCTATTTAATCTATTTGTTTTGTGGTAAAAACTTTCATACATTAAATTCACAAAAATTAATTTAACTTTATGAAGAATATCAATGGGTTTTACAGATTTACGTGCCTTTTAAAATGACCAAAAAAATCATTTTAATAAACAGGATCACTAAAAATAAAGCCTGTAGAATATCAGCAATCTGAATCATTTAGAATTAAGGTGAGTTTGATACAATGAGATCAAGTGCTGAGATTTATTCACATTTTTATAAAAATAAATAATGTACCAAATTAAGTCTTGTTTAACAGAAGACTGACATCATAAGAACCTTTCTGTGAATGAACATGTTTATGAATTTAATCTAAAATAATATAAAGAAAACTTCAAACAAAAATGAGAAGCTTCAATAAATGTGTTTATGAAAGTATATGCCTACAAGTTGTGTTAAATCAGTGCATCTAAAATGAAGTTACATGTAAATGGATGTGATTAATTTACAGTAAATGAGCTTAACAGCCTAGAACAGTAACATTTACTCCCATAAATACAGATATAAAACTGTGGGGGCATTTCGGATGGGTTCTTTAGAGCTGCTCTGGTGGGTGAAACATCATACAGAAAGTAAACATCTCAGGCACCACTGAAAGTGGAACAGAATTTAAGGTGGAATGGAAAATTTCACTTAAGAAGCTTGAGGCGCAAGGCCGTAACTGCTTATCATTTAAGGTGGAACGGAAAACAAATAGGAATGAAACTTAAGCCTGGTAAAAAGAGTAAAGCGTTTTCGCGGTAATACAGAGGTTTACTTCCTGTAAGACTTTCCACCCGTTATCTCAGCGAAGGAGAGAGAGTTAAACTACCGTCAAGTCCCTTTAATTCTCCGCTCTTTCTCAGCGCTTCTATAAACGGAGATTGATCTCAGACTTCTGTGGGAAATTAAACAACCACTAAACCACACTCGGCTGCGCGCACACAGATTAAAAGCGCGCGCAGTCACCTAGATTTTCCCGCGTTGCGCTTCAGTGTTGCAAACCGAGCCAAAATTGCCAGAAGAAATAAAAAGCGCAGAGCTGAAGTTTGTTTTTTCTACCAGATTTTCCATTCCACCTTAAATGGTGCAGTAGATACAGTCTGGTAACTTGGACCCCATTTAAGGTGCGAGAAAATTTCACATAAGAAGCCTGAGGTGCTAGAATGTAACACCATTTAAGGTGGAACGGAACATTCAACTGAAAGGCCTGACGCGCGAAACTGCAAGTGCTGACCATTTAAGGTGGAATGGAAAACTCAAAAAGGAATTGAAGTTAAGCCTGGTAAGAAGAGTGAACCGTTTTCGCGGGAAACTCAGGGTGACGACGCGGCTTTAAACTGTGCGCGCGGTTGAGTTTAGTTTATTGATTCATTTCCCACAGACGTCAGACATGAATCTCCGTTTGTAGAAGTGCAGAATTAAAACACTTCACAGCAGCTTCACTCTTTCTCTCCTTCACCGAGCTGAGAAGCAGAACTCTCAGAAAAACATCCTCACTGTTCTGCACTGATATTGTTCAGAGAACCCAACAGACTTAAAGTGAAGGTGAGTTAGTTACGGAGAGCAGCAGCGCAGGTCTTACCTACTGAACGTCCAACAGAGAGTTGGAGCACAATTCCGGCCCTTCACATCTGTATAGGTATTGTTTTCAGCTTCCCATAATGCACTACTACTGCACCACGTGTTCTGTTAAAACATTGTTTTGAGGAGTGTTATTTGTTTTTTTGTTTCTTAATGGTTTTTATAATAGTACAGTTTGTGCTGCCCAAAAAACAGCATTTCTTTTGAAGCTGTACATTTTGGAAAGGTGCAAGTAATATATAAACTTAGAGGCATCAGAGTTTTCTTTACTTTTCAAAGCCTGCTGATTCTCACAGTGAATCAAAGCTTGTATCAATCATACTGTTATCACATTACTATGAAGTCTGGAGATTTAGAAAAGTATGGAGCTATTTCAAAGGTTTGGCACTTTCAAGCTATAAGAGAGGTGAGAAACCACCAATCATGTATTTATCACAGAGAATGACCGTCTTCCTGAAGCAAATTTGCACCCATCTAATAAATAAATAAGTACATAGATTAATAGAAAGCAATGTCCGTTTGATAAAAAAACATGCATTTATCCATAGGAAATGATTTTTGGAGCCAGTGACCCTGTAGAGAGTACAGTTGCAGTTTGACAGACCATAAGAAAGAGACTTCAGTTGTTTCAGGTATTGAATTCACTCCTTTTTAGGCTTTTTTCAGTGCCTTTGTAATTTAAGAACTTATGCTTAATCAAAAGTTTCACTTGTATATTTATTTTCAGTGCGATATCATGCAAAAAAGTCAGCTTTAGTGTTATTAGTCATTGCAGGACATACACTATATGGACAAAAGTATTAATATGGAGTTGGTCCCCCTTTGCAGTTATAACAGCTTCCACTCTTCTGGGAAGCTTTCTACAAGATTTTGGAGTGTGTCTGTGGGACCTTTTGCCCATTTATTCAAAAGTGCATTTATGAGGTCAGACACTGATGTTGGACGAGAGGGCCACACTCAAAATCTCTGTTCTAGTTCATTCCAAAGGTGTTCCATGGGGTTGAGGTCAGGGCTCTATGTGGGTTAGTCAAGTTCTTCCACACCAAACTCACCCAGTCACATAACTATAGTTCTGTGGAGTCAGTATCTAAATGAGCATATGAACAAGTGGGATGGCTATAAAACCATCTCCATCTTTGTAGAGTGCACATTTTTGTTGGATATGATCAATTTTACAGATCCCTAAGCTACTGTGCAGCCTAGATACTTTAAAGGAACCAATATAGGATGATTCACAGGGATATGAAAAACAGTTCTCTACATGTCTGAATGTTTGATAGATAACAAAAATAATGCCATCTGCCCTCAATATGTTTTAACCACAGCTATCTCATCACCAACCTGTATGCAGTTGTCCCCTAGCTCAGTGGAAATTGTATTCTCATTCGAAGTCAATTGTTTGAATTGCTCAGCTTTACCAAACTATGGGGGCAGAGGCCCATCATAATGTTTACTGTGTACAGCTGCTGAGTCTGTAGGCTTTGGCACTACTGCTGTTGGCTTTTCTGAAAGTCTTTTAACTATCTGTTGAAGTGGTTGATGTGGCTTTCGCACAAGTCTCTTAATTTTGCCCAAGCAGTTTTCAAAGGGAAATGCTGAAATATTGTCTAGAGACCCAAAGGAACGATATTCATCTGCAAGATGGACAAGCTGAAGAATGTTAAAAACAGTCTCTGTCCTTCCGTACAGTTCACCAAAATGTCTAACAAAAGACACAAGAATATTATGAGCAAAGCTGACCTTTTCTTCTGAAATATCTGGGGACAACAACAAAAACATGGCAACAGAAAACAACATAAAATTGTCATAAACCTCCTGTGGTACACAGTCTTTAAGCACAACAGGACCAGTATAAATCATAAATTGATGCAATTCTGTTGCCCTCCAGCGATCAATTTTCACCAACTCCCTCGGTTTACGAGAGAATTCTGAAGGTGTGTAAGGCCTCTGCGTTAGCAGTTTCCTAGATATTAATGCAACAGTTTGTGAAGGAAGCCTGGAAGCTAGGTTTCTACCCTTTAACCAAAAAAGCAGTAGCTTCCTCATAACTCCAAGACATCAAAGGTGCATATAATCTATAGGAAAATGGGAGACCATTTTCACAACGCCTGTCAATAGGCCATGTTTCTGCCCCAAATGGTGCTCTTCATCAGCCGTTGAACAAAAATCAGAATCTGTTCTGAGTCTGGCATTAGTCTCAGGAAATGTAATTTTATTTTGCCATTCAC